CAAGTGGGAGAAAGCTGGTAGGCCCACATGTGAGAGAATGGGTCTGTGTGGTCAGTGTGCACCACATAAAAAAAATCCTGCAGCACACATTGCGTAATGAGAAAAAAAAACTCGATCGTTTTTTTGGAATAAAACGCCGACTTTGAGGTGTATTTTCGTATAGTATTTATCATTGTATTCACGTTTTCATGGTCTTAGGTGATAAAATGGAAAACATGTTACAGAAATAGAGATGATTTTCATTACTTTTACGATGAAAACGACCTTGAAACTGAGCTCAAAGTAGCGGAAATGTTTGATTTTTACCAATGTTCAAGAGTAAATAAATCACACCACACGACCAATACACGTCAACTGGGGAGTCTAATATTCTTTCACTAGTGCACTGATATTATTTATACCATTTTTACAATAATGCAGTCGTCTGCATAACAGTAAATTTTGTATTTTTTTGTATGAATAAAAAATCAAAATAGAAAGCAATAATAATATAAGAGGGGCCTAGAGATGTGACTAATGAACAGAGCATATGTTATTTTAGTGCCACGAATGTCTACCTTGTTTATTCTGGATCCTATTTTGAAATTGGCATCTTTTTTATTTTGCGTGAAATTGGCCAAATTGCCAAATTCTGACCACCATATTGGGTAGTCCAAATTAGTAAATGGGAGGTTTCTTGTACTCAGCTGATAGATAAAATGGAGTTCTAAAGAAATAGCTATGAGTTTGGTCAACTGGAACAATGGAATTGGCTGAAAATAGGGCTCAAAGTCGGCGAAATCGCCGATACGCATATGTCGCCGAGACTGCTAACTTCGCGGGAGCATAATTCCACGAGTTTTCGACCAAATTTCGAACTTTTGGTGTCATTACCATCGGGAAAAGATTCTCTATCATTTCAAAAGAAAAAATAATTTTTTTTTTCAAAAATTGAGTGACATAGAATGACAGTTTCAGAGAGGGGCCTGAAACAGTCAAAGGGTTAAGGGATGACTCCAGAGGGTATACAGCATCACTGACAGTCTTGCAAAGATTGTATTACTGCACATACTGTACTGCATGCAGTAATCTGGAAATTGGCTTATGCAAGCTTAGTTTTTCACCAAGTTAGGCACGTAATTAATTTACCTATAGTGAGCATATGCGTAGAATCTAACAGCTGCTTGATAAAGATGTATGCAAGTGGTGTTCTTGATTCCCTGGACACACAAGTCTTGTTGAATGGCTCTCAATCGATCACTGACAAATTGGTAAACCAAAGCCCATGACACATCTTCTCGAAGGCATACACTGTAATAAATAATGCAAAGAAGCTAAAACATCCACATGCATAAAGCATATTACCATAATAAAACCTTAAACATGTTCTAGTTGTGGCTACTGGAACTCTAAAACTTTACTGTAATATTCAAATGACAATTTTATTGCCTTGCCTTCTCTTATTTTGAGTCTCTTCATCAAAAAGTTTACTTTTGTAATATAAGAAGAAAGAGACTGCCGTGGAAACTGTTGTGGAAACATCCAATACATTCTCAGTGCTACCCGACGAATGTGAGTTGACTACTGGGAACGACACGACGAAAGACATTAAGGAAGGTAAGAATATTGTTGTTGTTGGGGATAGCCAAGTTAGGTATATGGATAGGGCGTTCTGCTTGAAGGACAGGAGTAGGAGACAGAGAGTTTGCTTTCCTGGGGCTGGGATGGAGGATATTGTTAGCCGTCTGGATGACATCATGAGAGGTAATGGGAGCAATCCTATTATCTGTCTCAGTGCTGGAGGCAACGATGTTGGCAGACGTAGGAGTGAGGACCTGATTAGCAGGTATAGGTCAGCAATAGAAATAATTAGAAGTAAGGGTGGGAACCCTCTCATATGTGGTATTTTGCCAAGGAGGGGAGTTGGAAGTGAATGGTTGTCCAGGGCAATTGGTGTCAATTGCTGGCTGGACAAATACTGTAAGGAAAATGCGGTAACATTCATTGACAACTGGGACCTCTTCTATGGCAGAAATGACATGTATGCTAGGGATGGGGTTCACTTATCTAGGTGTGGGGTGGGAGCACTGGCAACTGCAGTGGAGGGAGCAGTTAGGACTTTAAACTAGGAATAGTTAGTGGTATGGGTTTTGGCAGGAAAACAGTGAAGTCCCAGTGTAGTAATATTACGAGTTCTAGGGGAACTAGTAATAATAAGAACGAGATAGATATTGAAAAGCCAGGGACCTTGGGTGATAAAGACGGTAATAGGTTTAGTAGAAAAATAGAAATGAGCAGAAGGGTAAAGAGAAAGGAGAGTCTTTCAATGTTTATTATGCTAATTGCCGTAGTGCTAGGAATAAGATGGACGAGTTGAGATTAGTTGCTAGTGTAGGTAACATTGATGTATTTGCCTTAACTGAGACGTGGTTTAATTCAAAAAGTCGGGACGTGCCTGCGGAATGTCATATTCAGGGTTTTAAATTGTTCCAAGAAGATAGAAGTATTGGGAGGGGGGGTGGGGTGGCATTGTACGTCCGAGATCGCTTGAACTGTTGCATAAAAACGGGTATTAAGTCTGAAGTAACACATACAGAGTCTGTTTGGATAGAATTTTCAGAGGGGCATGAAAAACTGATTTTAGGAGTGATATACCGTCCCCTAACTTAGATAGGGACCAAGGGAAACTACTATGGGAGGAAATTGTTAAGGCCACAAAGGCACGATAATGTAGTAATTCTAGGAGACTTTAACTTTAGTCATGTTGATTGGAATTTCTTGACTGGGAATTTAGAATCGTACGACTTCTTAGAAGTATTTCAGGATTGTTTTTTGAAGCAGTTTGTGACAGAACCTACAAGGGGAAATAACCTGCTTGACTTAGTTATGGCAAACAATGAATCCCTTGTTAATAATTTAGAAATTTCAGAGGAACTGGGTGCTAGCGACCACAAATCAATTACATTTAGCATTGAATGGAAGTACGATAGTAGCGATAACTCAGTAACAGTCCAGATTTTCGCTTAGCAGATTACGATGGGCTTAAAGAAACACTTATCATCTGTTGACTGTGGGGTAACGAAGAGAGCTATCAATATGACAGTTTTCTGAACACTATACATGCTGCTCAAAGAGCGTTTATCCCATATAAAGAAATTAGATCAAATAGAAATGACCCAAATGGATGAATAATAGGCTCAAATATCTACTAGGGCATAAGAAAGGAATTTATAGGCGTATCAAAAGAGGTGAGGGTCATCTTATGAATCAGTATATTGACATTAAGAGGGACATTAAAAAGGGATAAGAAAAGCTAAAAGGGACTATGAAATTAAAGTTGCTAGGGATTCTAAAACTAACCCAAAAAGTTTTTTCCAGGTCTATAGAACAAAAGTTAGAGATAAGATAGGTCCCCTTAAAAATAACTATGGGCACCTTACTGACAATGAGAATGAAATGTGCTTGATTTTAAATAATTATTTTCTCTCAGTTTTTACACAGGAAGACACTAACATATATTCCAGTAATTAATTTTTACAGTGGGCTAGAAGAAGATAAATTATGTAACATCACAGTCACTAGTGAGATGGTTGTGAGGCAGATAGACAGACTGAAGCAAAATAAGTCGCCGGGTCCTGATGAGGTTTTTTCAAGGGTTCTTAAGGAATGCAAAATGGAACTCTGTGAACCATTAACTAATATTTTTAATTTATCTCTTCAAACAGGTGTAGTGTCTGATATGTGGAAGATGGCTAATGTAACTCCTATTTTTAAAACAGGGGACAAGTCGTTACCGTCAATTTACCGCCCAATAAGCCTGACCTCAATTGTAGGCAAATTACTAGAGTCAATTATAGCTGAGATTATAAGAAGCCATCTCGATAAGCATAGCTTGATTAATGATACTCAGCATGGATTCACAAGAGGCCGGTCTTGTCTAACTAATTTATTAACTTTCTTCAGTAAAGCTTTTGAGGCTGTTGACCACAATAAAGAATTGATATTATTTACTTAGATTTTAGTAAGGCTTTTGATAGAGTTCCGCACCATAGACTGTTAAAGAAAGTGGCAGCCCATGGCATTGGGGGAAAAGTGCTCTCGTGGATCGAGTCATGGCTCACTGACAGGAAGCAGAGAGTGTCCATAAATGGGGTTAAATCCGAGTGGGGATCTGTAACAAGTGGCGTTCCACAGGGATCAGTCTTGGGCCCGTTGTTGTTTATAATATATATCAATGATCTTGATGAGGGAATTACTAGTGATATGAGCAAATTCGCCGATGACACAAAGATAGGTAGGATAATTGATTCAAACGTAGATGTTAGGGAACTTCAGGAGGATTTAAACAAACTCTATTCTTGGTCAGAAAAGTGGCAGATGCAGTTCAATGTAGATAAGTGCAAGGTTCTGAAGCTTGGGAGTGCCCATAACCCTAGTACTTATAAATTAAATGATGTAGAACTTAGCCATACAGATTGCGAAAAGGACTTGGGGTTATGGTGAGCAGCAACCTTAAACCAAGACAGCAATGCCTAAGCGTACGTAATAAGGCAAATAGATTACTGGGATTTATATCAAGAAGTGTAAGCAACAGAAGTCCAGAGGTCATACTGCAGCTTTATACATCATTAGTAAGGCCTCACCTTGATTATGCAGCTCAGTTCTGGTCTCCGTATTACAAAATGGACATAAATTCGTTAGAAAACATTCAGCGTAGGATGACTAAATTAATACATAGCATCAGAAATCTTCCTTATGAAGAAAGATTGAAGACTCTTAAGTTACATTCACTTGTTAGACGAAGAATGAGGGGAGACCTGATCGAAGTGTATAAGTGGAAGATAGGTATTAATAAAGGGGATATTAATAAGGTCTTGAGGATGTCTCTCCAAGAGAGAACCCGCAGTAATGGATTTAAATTAGATAAGTTTAGATTTAGAAAGGACATAGGAAAGTATTGGTTTGGAAATAGGGTAGTTGATGAGTGGAACAGTCTACCTAGTTGGGTTATTGAGGCTAGGACTTTGGGTAGTTTCAAATCTAGGTTGGATAAGTACATGAGTGGGAAGGGTTGGATTTGAGTGGGACTTTCACATCAGAGCTTATTTCTTGGGTAGCATTGAAAATCGGGTTGGGTAAATGTTTTGTTAGTGGGATGAATTGTAAAGGACCTGCCTAGTATGGGCCAGCAGGCCTCCTGCAGTGTTCCTCCTTTCTTATGTTCTTATGTTCTTAATTTATGCTCCTCTTTCCTGTTAATGTACAAAAACAAATTATTTTAAAATTTCTTAGATTTATAACATTATCCACATAGTTGCATTTATAATTTTCATTATTGGGCTATTGAAACAAATAACAGTAATACTAGACATTTTGGAATAAATGAGAAAAAGATAGCAGGAAACATTGTGTATATCAAATGCTATTTGCTGAGAAAAAATAAGAACTCTGAATTGTCTGGTTACTGCTACTGGAAAAAAATGATTAAAAAGAATTAATTAATATGCATGGATATTCGTAGGAAAGGAGAACAAAGATGAGATATAACACTGCTACTACTACTACTACTAGCTACTACTACACTCCAGTATATTAATGTCAGGGAATAAAGACCTTAAAATCTTTTCATGCTTTTCATATGTTAAACTGAACCTATATCTGCTTTAAGATACTAATTTTTTAAAATACGTACAGTGGTACCTCAGGATACGAACAGCTCAAAACTCAAACAATTATGTAAGTGTATTTATGTAAGTACTTTTTGTAAGTGTATTTTTGGGGGTCTGAAACGGATTAATCTAATTTACATTATTCCTTATGGGAACAAATTTGTTCAGTACCAGCACTCGAGCAGCCTTCTGGAACGAATTAAGTTTGTATCCCAAGGTATCGCTGTATTTATGATCAAGCAAACACTTACCACCAACAAGTAAAACTAGTAATAATTCTTTTCCTGTTAGCTTTTGCTTAATGAGATACCAGTAATGAAATTAGGAATACAAAGAACTCGCTCAAGTCACTTCATTGCCTTGGATAGTTATGGACTGCCCTTTGTTTGCCCCACCATGCGAATTTTTCAGGATACGAACAGTCACTCGATCAATTTTTTGCTTCTGGATACGAACGAAATTTCAAGATGCAAACTTTCCCCTCAAGGAAGGTTCCTTGGTGAGGGGCTCTTGATCAAGGGAACTGGATCTGTGCTCCACTTCCCTAAATTAACAATAATAATACAGTGGAACCTCAAATATCGAACTTAATCCGTTCAAGGAGTTAGTTCTAAATTCGAAAAGTCTGAAAATCGAAGCAATATTTCCCATAAGAAATAATGGAAATAAAATTAATCCGTTCCAGAAACCCAAAAATATTCACAAAAAAATACATTTATAGAGATTAATTATAGTTTTACATACACACAACAAATAGAGTGTTCAATTATATATCAATATATGTAAATAAACATATAAAATAACATTTTTACTTACCTTTATTGAAGATTGGTGATGGCATCTGGAAGATAGGGAGGAGGAGAGAGGGAGTTGGGGTTAGTGTTTGGGAGGAGAATCCCCCTCCATGAGGACTTCAGGTATCAAAGCCCTCTCTGGAGTTACTTCCCTTCTCTGTCTTTTAATGCCACTAGGACCAGCTTGAGAGTCACTGGACCCCTGTCTCACAAAATAACTGTCCACAGTCCTCTGTTTCTGGTGCCTCTTTAAGATTTCCCTAAAATGGGACATGGTTCTGTCACTGAACGTGTTTCAAAGATGGCTTGTTTCAGCTTCCTCTGGGTGGTACTTCTGCACAAACATTTGGACATCATTCCACTTTGGTATTACTTCCTTCTTCTCATCTATGGTGTTTCTCACTTTCTTTACCACAGGGGTACCTCTAGCAAGTTTCTTTGGGACCATTGTAGCGGACAGAGTGGGCTGCTGGACAGGTCCTGTACCCGGCGGTTCGAAAATAGGGGCGAGTTCGATAATAGGGACAAAGTTGGTTCGAAAAAAGGGTTCTATTTTCGAAGCATTCAATAAGCAATACATTCGAAATCTGAGGTTCCACTGTAATAATAATAACTATTATTATACATTTTTTTTTTAACAAGTCGGCCGTCTCCCACTGAGGCAGGGTGACCCAAAAAGAAAATACTTCATCATCATTCAACACTTTCACCTCACTCACACATAATCACTGTTTTTGCAGAGGCACTCAGAATACAACAGTTTAGAAGCATATATGTACAAAGATACACAACATCTCCCTCCAAACTGCCAATATCCCTAAACCCCTCCTTTAAAGTGCAGGCATTGTACTTCCCATTTCCAGGACTCAAGTCCAACTATATAAAAATAACCGGTTTCCCTGAATCCCTTCACTAAATACAGTGGACCCTCGACCAATGATGGCATCGTATAACATTAAATCCGACTAGCGATACATTTTAACGCAAAAATTTTGCCTCGACTAGCGCTAAAAAACTCGACCAACGCGATTCGTTCCATTCAAGACGCGTCCAATTGTGGCCTGACCGCGCCTCACTTGTCCTCTGGGTGCCAGTATTTACAAGCCAGCCAGCCACCACAGCCCCATCCAAACATACAATTGGAACATTTCATATTATCACAGCATTTTTAGTGACTGCACCTGCAGTCACTAAAAATGGGCCATGGGCCCCAAGAAAGCTTCTAGTGTCAACCCTACAGCAAAAAGGGCAAGAATTACTATGGATATGAAGAAAGAGATCATTGCTAAGTATGAAAGTGGACTGCGTGTCTCCAAGCTGGCCAGGTTGTACACAAAACCCCAAACAACCATCGCTACTATTGTGGCCAAGAAAATGGCAATCAGGGAAGCTGTTCTTTCCAAAGGTGCAACTATGTTTTCCAAACTGAGAACGTAAGTGATAGAAGATGTTGAGAGACTGTTATTGGTGTGGATAAATGAAAAACAGATAGCAGGAGATAGCATCTCTCAAGCGATCATATGTGAAAAGGCTAGGAAGTTGCATGACGATTTAATTAGAAGAATGCCTGCAACTAGTGGTGATGTGAGTGAATTTAAGGCCAGCAAAGGTTGGTTTGAGAGATTTAAGAATCGTAGTGGCATACATAGTGTGATAAGGCATGGTGAGGCTGCCAGTTCGGACCAAAAAGCAGCTGAAAAATATGTGCAGGAATTCAAGGAGTACATAGACAGTGAAGAATTGAAACCTGAACAAGTGTTTGTGACGAAACAGGCCTGTCTTGGAAGAAAATGCCAAGCAGGACCTACATTACTCAGGAGGAAAAGGCACTCCCAGGACATAAGCCTATGAAAGACAGGCTTACTCTGTTGATGTGTGCTAATGCTAGTGGTGATTGCAAAGTGAAGCCTTTATTGGTGTATCACTCTGAAACTCCCAGAGTGTTCAGGAAAAACAATGTCCTCAAGGCTAATTTGTGTGTGCTGTGGAGGGCAAACAGTAAGGCATGGGTCACTAGGGACTTTTTCTATGACTGGTTACACCATGCATTTGCCCCCACTGTGAAAAATTACCTCCTGGTAAATAAATTGGACCTTAAGTGCCTCCTGGTATTAGACAGTGCTCCTGGTCATCCTTCAGACATGGCAGAGCAACTTTCTGGGGACTTGAGCTTCATTAAGGTCAAGTTTTTGCCTCCTAATACCACTCCTCTCCTGCAGCCCATGGACCAGCAGGCCATTGCAAACTTCAAAAAACTCTACACAAAAGCTATGTTTGAAAGATGTTTTGCAGTGACCTCAGAAACTCAATTGACTCTAAGAGAGTTTTGGAAAGATCACTTTAGCATCCTCAATTGTGTAAACATTATAGGTAAGGCTTGGGAGGAAGTGACTAAGAGAGCCTTAAACTCTGCTTGGAAGAAACTGTGGCCAGAATGTGTAGACAAAAGGGATTTTGAAGGATTTGAGGCTAACCCTGAGAAGCCTATGCCAGTTATGGATCAATTGTGGCATTGGGAAAATCCTTGAGGTTGGAGGTTAGTGGGGAGGATGTGGAAGAGTTGGTGGAGGACAATGAAGAACTAACCACTGATGAGCTGCAAGATCATCTTCAACAGCAAGAGGCCAGACCTGAGGAAACTGCTCCGGAGGAGGGGATGGAGAAATTGAAGAAGTTGTCTTCTTCAAAGATTAAGGAAATGTGTGCAATGTGGCTTAAAGTGCCAACCTTTTTTGATGAAAATCACCCTCACACAGCTATTGCAAGCCATGCTGGTGACTATTACACTGACAATGTTGTGAAACACTTTAGGAATGTCATAAAGGAATGGGAGGTACAGGCCTCTATGGATAGGTATGTTGTGCGACAGAGGTCCAGTGACTCTCAAGCCGGTCCTAGTGGCATTAAAAGAAGAAGGGAAGTAACCCTGGAAAAGGACTTGACACCTCAAGTCCTAATGGAAGGGGATTCCCCTTCTAAACACTAACACCATCCACACACTCCCCTCCTCCCATCCCATCAATCATCACCAGATCTTCAATAAAGGTAAGTGTCATGTAATTGTACATGTCTTCTTCAGTTTGTGCGTATTAAAATTAATATTTCATGTGGTAAAAAATTTTTTTTTTTCAATACTTTGGGGTGTCAGGAACAGATTAATTTGATTTCCATTATTTCTTATGGGGAAAATTAACTCAACTAACGATAATTTTGACAAATGATGAGCTCTCAGGAACGGATTAATATCGTTGGTCCACTGTATTACCTTGCTCACACTCCAACAGCTCGTCAGGTCCCAAATACCATTCGTCTCCATTCACTCCTATCTAACACGCTCACGCACGCTTGCTGGAAGTCCAAGCCCCTCACCCACAAAACCTCCTTTACCCCCTCCTTCCAACCTTTTCGAGGACGACCCCTACCCCGCCTTCCTTCCTTTATTAGTACGTATTATACATTTTTTTTTTTTTTTTCAACAAGTCGGTCGTCTCCCACCGAGGCAGGGTGACCCAAAAAAAAAAGAAAGAAAATCCCCAAAAAGAAAATACTTTCATCATCATTCAACACTTTCACCACACTCACACATTATCACTGCTTTTGCAGAGGTGCTCAGAATATAACAGTTTAGAAGCATATACGTATAGAGATACACAACATATCCCTCCAAACTGCCAATATCCCAAACCCCTCCTTTAAAGTGCAGGCATTGTACTTCCCATTTCCAGGACTCAAGTCCGACTATATGAAAATAACCGGTTTCCCTGAATCCCTTCACTAAATATTACCCTGCTCACACTCCAACAGATCGTTGGCCTGTTGGCCCATACTAGGCATTTCCTTCACAATCCATCCGACTAACAAAATATTTGCTCAACTCAGTTTTCAATGCTACCCAAGTAATAAGCTTTGATAATTCTATTTACTCATGTGCAGGTCCCACTCACATCCAACCCCTCTCACTCATGTATTTATCCTACACAAATTTGAAACTAATCATTTTTGTTGTTTAAGTTTTCTAGAGTTGTTAAGTCTACCACAAAATAGTACAGTATTAGTACAGTGGATTCCCGGTTATCAGCCGTAATCTGTTCCAGAAGGCTGGCCTAAATCCGAAATCCCAAGTAATATTCCCCATAAGAAATAATGTAAATCCAATTAATCTGTTCCAGACACCCAAAAATAAAAAATACATTTTTTAAAGAATGCCTATAGTTTTACATACAGAAAACAATCAGAAAGAAATATAAAGCAGTAATTTTAATAATAAATGAGCATTACGTAACTTTATTGAAGACTCGTGTTGGCATATGGAAGAAGGCGAGGAGAAAGGGAGTTGGGGTTATTGTTTGGAAGGGAAATCTCCCTCCGTAAAGACTTCAGGTATCAAGTCCCTCTCTGGGGTTGCTTTCCTTCTTTATTTTTTACTGGCACTAGGACCAGCTTGAGAGTCACTGTACCCCTGTCGCACCAAAGAGGCCTGTTTCTGGCATTTCTGTAAAATTTGCCTAAAATGGGACAAGACACTGTCACTGAACATGTTGCAGACATGGCCTGCAACAGTTTTGTCAGGGTAATAATTTTCTGCAAAACTTCACACCTCACTCCATTTTGCACAAATGTCCTTAATCACTGAAGAAGGCACATTCTTCCCCCTCTCTCACTTTGCACAAATGTCCTTAATCACTGAAGAAGGCACATTCTTTCCCCTTTCTTCCTCCTCAGAAGCAATATCCTCAGCTGCAGTCTGTTGCTATTCCTGTTGGAGGTGTTACAGCTCTTCAGTGGTTAGCTTTTACCTGTGGTTGTCCAACAACTCTTCCACATCCTGGCCACTCACATCCAACCCCATGGACTTCCCCAGTGAAACAATAGATTCCACAATTGGCATAGGGCCGTCAGGGTCAGCCTCAAACCCTTCAAAATCCTTGTCAAGGGCACATTCGGGCCACAATTTTCTCCAAGCAGAGTTCAAAGTCTGGAAAGTCACTCCCTCCCAAGCCTTATCTATAAGGCTTATGCAATGGAGGATATCGAAGTGATTCCTCCAGAACTCTCTTAGGGTCAATTCAGTGTCTGAGGTCACTTCAAAGCACCTTTGATAATTGCTTTGGTGTACAGTTTTTTGAAGTTTGAAATGACCTACTGGTCCATGGGCTGGATGAGAGGAGTGGTATCAGGGGTCAAGAACTTCACTGTGATGAACTTACACTCCTCAAACAATAGGTCTTCCAAGTCTGGAAGGTGAGCAGAAGCATTGTCCAGTACCACGAGGCACTTAAGTGGCAATTTATTTTCCAGGAGGTATTTCTTCACACTCGGGCCAAACACTTCATTGACCCACTCAATGAAAATTAGCCTCATGATCCATGCTCTATTGTCAGCCCTCCACATCACACACAATTTACTCTTCATGACATTGTTTTTCTTGAACACTCTGGGATTTTCAGAGTGATACACGAGTAAAGGCTTCATTTTGAAATCCCAACTAGCGTTACCACAGAACAAAAGAATTAGCCTATCCTTCATAGGCTTGTATCCTGGCAGTGCCTTTTCCTCTTGTATGATGTAGGTCCTCTTTGGCATTTTCTCCAAAGAGGCCTGTTTCGTCACAAATGAACACTTGTTGGGGAGGAATCCTCTACGTAATCCTTGAATTCATGCACGAATTCTTCAGCCACGTTTCTCTGAACTTGCAGCCTCACCATGCCTTATAACACTGTGTATGCCACTACGCTTCTTGAATCTGTCAAACCAGCCTTTGCTAGCCTTAAATTCACTAACAGCAGGACTCATTCCCGGCATTTTCTTTACGAGATCCACATGCAACTGCCTTGCATTCTCGCAAATTATCCCCTCCAAAACACTATCTCCCGCTAATTGTTTTTGGTTGATCCACACCAACAACAACTTCTCCACATCCTCGATAGTTTGAGACCTCTGTTTTGTTAACATATTTGCATCCTTCACAACATCAGCTTAACTGATTTCTGCTTTCTTCAACAGGATGGAACTGATTGTTGATGTAGATTTCCCACAAATCCCAGCCAGCTCTGCCACACATATGCCACTTTCATATTTTGCAGTAACTTCTTTCTTGAATTCTATCATGTTTCTCACCTTCTTTACCAAAGGGCTGGCACTCTGAACTTTTTTTGGCCCCATGGTGGCTTATTTCACAGTTGCAATCAATAAACAAGCACCAAAAATGATGGATGAATGGGCAGAATATTTCTACCCCAACAAGAGAGATGCACAGACTGAGTGTGATACACGTGAGGAAGCGCGTCGCTGGCAGGTGGACGCATCTCATACCAACGATTTATGAGCAGATGGCCTATATCTGGGGGGGAATTTCGCCAAAAAAGAAGTGTTTGATTTCCGAACTGGCTGATTTCTGCACCGGCCTATACCAAGGGGTTCACTGTATATAGTTCTGTGAAGCTGAGGGACTGATTACCTCTTCTCCTACAGTCTTTTGTTTTTATTCATTTATTGTAGTGATAAAACTACTGGATGGCAAAAAGTCTACAATATAAAGGTACTCAGATGTTGCACATGTGTCTAATTCACATTACAGCATTATCAGTAAGCTTAGCTTCCAAATCCATTACATGTGTAAATTATCACTCTGGCTCACCTATATATGGTACATGTGTTTGGTGGTCAATTTTTACCACAACTGACCCAAATAACATCACGTCTGAGACTGGGGTATCGAAGATACCCCAGTCTGTGAAATTTTCAGAATGCTAATACAGTGGACCCCCGGTTAACGATATTTTTTCACTCCAGAAGTATGTTCAGGTGCCAGTGCTGACCAAATTTGTTCCCATAAGGAATATTGTGAAGTAGATTAGTCCATTTCAGAGCCCCAAACATACACGTACAAACGCACTTACATAATTGGTCGCATTCGGAGGTGATCGTTATGCGGGGGTCCACTGTATCTTGTAAAATGCATCTCTCATGGACATGGAGGAGTACATATTGTAGCTCAAACCATGGATGGTTCTTCAAGTTTTTTACTTTCAAATTTTTTAAGGTTAGGAACCAAAAACTAGTTTTATACTAGAAGCAAACAGAATTTTGTAGTCTCCATAATAGTTGGTTAGGCTTCAAATACTTTCCATCATACAGTGATAAAGGAATGGAAAAAGTAACCTGTTCATATCAAGGCCAGTCATAGCATAATTCAATTTAGTTTCTTCTTGCCACCTCCATCAGTTGCACTACTACTTTTTAGTACTCTACCACTACCATTATAATACTATTTTCTCCTTACGTTGTACCTCTCCCATCCTCCGCTTCCCTGTTGTATATATTCTGGCTCCCTTCCCTTTCCTTTGCGTTTCTCTGTACGACTAGTTATTAGTCCAAGTTGGACTGAAACATAATAAGATTCGGTTTCCTATTTGTGGAATGTTTAATATTAAAATTACAAAATGTAGCTACTATACTGAAAATCCTCATAACATCTATGTCCTCTTGGCAATGTCTTCTCAGAATTATTGTGTAAATTTATAATTTTCCTAGTAAAATTGTAATTTCCCCTCAAAAATGGAGGCAACAAAGGTGAAAAAACTGAATACCATACCTCCTGGTAGAGTACTACTTGCTAAAAATTTTTCTTTCCTTTCTGACCAATAACAACATATCACAGCACTGTACCATCCTATGCAGGTAATAGTATTTGCCCAAGATTGGCATCCACAGGAAAGATGGCAAACTTTTAAGATGATAAAGTAATGCAATCTAGTGGGGTCAGAATACAATATGATGATCAATGGGGACAAATTTCAACTACACAATCACAGAAAATCTGAAGAAATAAAAATGGCAATAGTACCAAAAATCAAACAACCAAGAACAAGAGAGAAATATACTTGGTAAACACATGCATATTAAACACAGAATATGGATAAAGTTATAAGAGCACTCACGTAGTTAACAAATATTTCATCGTTTTTACCAACACAGGTACAGGGCGAATATCAGATGCCTTAATTTCAGTACCAGCTGCCGAACGTGAAAATTCCTTAACCATTGCCCTAGGCTGGACGTAATTCAGCTGATTACCATTGGAATTAACAGCCATTTCCAAAGGATGAATCAGCCGTTCTCGTTGCCGACTGCAAGACAGCAAGAAGTTAGGCAAATAACACACTGAAAAAATATATTAATACTTCATTAGTAGAAATACTTAATTATACTGAAGGTAAGACACTCTCTATCAATTCTAAATACAGGCACATTCATACTCACAGTCGAACTTCTGCATAAGGACACATTCCAAGGCATGTTCCCACCATGAACTGTGATTTGTCCTTATCTCTGTCAGTTGCCATTATCTGTGAATTACAAATCATAAAAGATGTTTGTGACAAGGTTTAAAGCAAGAAATTTATTATTTTTATAGTAAATGTTGTTGCAATTGACATTCTGTAGATATCGTTCTACATATAACCCAAGTTCAATACAAAATAAGGAACACACTGAGCTATGCACAGCAGTCTTAGGTAGAGTATACCATAACTGTGCTAAATATACAGTGGAACCCCGGTTCGCGATGCTATCGGTATCTGATAAATACGGTAACCGATGCATTATATCGCAGAAAATTTGCCTCGCTTCCCGATACAAAACCCGGTATGCGATGTGGTTCGTACAAGACGTGTCCATGTGTGGCCTGAACTGCCCCGTGTGTGCCAGTGTTTACAAGCCAGCCAGTGTGCGCGCATCTAAGGATACATTCGGTACATTCCATATTATCACTGTTTTTGGTGCCTGTTTTTGCAAAATAAGTCACCATGGGCCCCAAGAAAGCTCCCAGTGCCAACCCTTCGAGACCAAGGGTGCTAATAACTGTTGAAATGAAGAAAGAGATAATTGCAAAGTATGAAAGTGGAGTGCGTGTGTCAGAGCTGGTCAGGTTGTATAGTAAACCCCAATCAACCATCTCTACTACAGTGAGCAAGAAAATGGCAATCAAGGAAGCTGTTCTTGCAAAAGGTGCAACTGTGGATGAAAATCACCCTCAGACAGCTATTGCAAGCCGTGCTGGTGACTATTACACTGACAATGTTGTGAACCACTTTAGGAAAGTCATAATGGAACGAGAGGTACAGGCCTCTATGGACAGATATGTTGTGCGACAGAGGTCCAGTGACTCTCAATCTGGTCCTAGTGGCATTAAAAGAAGAAGGGAAGTAACCCCGGAAAAGGACTTGCTACCTCAAGTCCTAATGGAGGGGGATTCCCCTTCTAAATGCTAACACCATCCACACACTCCCCTCCTCCCATCCCATCAATCATCACCAGATCTTCATTAAAGGTAAGTGTCAATTATTCTTTCGTTATTTATTGTTATTTATTGTTATTGTTGTTATTGTAATTACTATTCTATTGCATTAAACTTAATATTTCATGTGGTAAAAGTTTTTTTTTTCATACTTTTGGGTGTCTTGCACAGATTAATTTGATTTCCATTATTTCTTATGGGGAAAATTGATTCGCTTTCCGATATTTTTGGTTTACGATGAGCTCTCAGGAACGGATTAGTATCGCGAACCGGGGGTCCACTGTATTATTATTATAATCAAATTAAGTGCTAAACCTGTAAGGGTCATACAACTGTACTAAATATAGAAATAAAATGACCCTCAATATCATAAATGAAATTTGCTGGATGCATAAACATCTAAGGTGTGATTACCATAATTCATTACAAATACAAATGTGGAGGGAGGGGTTTAGTTATAGGTAATACGTATTTTAAGAAAAAGAGGATAAATAAGTATACAAGATATGACGTAGGGTGTAATGACAGTAGTTTGTTGGACTATGTATTGGTAGATAAAAGACTGTTGAGTAGACTTCAGGACGTATATGTTTATAGAGGGGCCACAGATATATCAGATCACTTTCTAGTTGTAGCTACAGTGAGGGTAAAAGGTAGATGGGATACAAGGAAAACAGAAGCAGCAAGTAAGAAAGAGGTGAAGGAGGCAGTTAGGGTAAGATATAAACAACTATTGGAGGATAGATGGGCTAGTGAGAGTATAGGCAATGGGGTCGAAGATGTATGGGGTAGGTTTAAAAATGTAGTGTTAGACTGTTCAGCAGAAGTTTGTGGTTACAGGAGAGTGGGTGTAGGAGGGAAGAAGAGCGATTGGTGGAATGATGATGTAGAGAGAGTAGTAAGGGGAAAAAAGTTAGCATATGAGAGGTTTTTACAAAGTAGAAGTGCTGCAAGGAGGAAAGAGTATACAGAGAGAAAAAGAGAGGTTAAGAGAGTGGTGAAGCAGCCTAAAAAGAGAGCAAATGAGAGAGTGGGTAAGATGTTATCAACAAATTTTGTTGAAAATAAGAAAAAGCTTTGGAGTGAGATAAGTAAGTTGAGGAAGCCTAGGGAACAAATGGATTTGACAGTTAAAAATAGGAGAGGAGAGTTATTAAATGGAGAGTTAGAGGTATTGGGAAGATGGCAGGAATATTTTAAGGAACTGTTAAATGTTGAGGAAGATAGGGAAGCTGTGATTTCGAGTACAGGGCAAGGAGGAATAACATCTTGTAGGAGTGAGGAAGAGCCGGTTGTGAGTGTGGGGGAAGTTCGTGAGGCAGTGGGTAGAATGAAAGGGGGTAATGCAGCTGGGATTGATGGGATAAAAATAGAAATGTTAAAAGCAGGTGGGGATATAGTTTTGGAGTGGTTATGATTAGTCATCATAAACGTGACTTATGGAAACTGCTAGTTCTAAAAGCTAATCAGTATAAATGAGAGCCTGCAAAATTTTGGAGTAAGATTCGGCAACTTTTAGGTGCAAAACACAAGGCTCCTGGAAATATAAACACAAATGCAGTATAATGTGATCCTTTATTGACAACGTTTCACCCACACAGTGGGCTTTCTCAAGTCACACACGGATCTACCTGGGGTTGGAAGGTACAAGAGTATTTATAGTCAGAATGTTGAGGTCAGGTGAAGAATGCTGCATCTGATGATCCACCGGGTGGGGTTATAGAGTCTTGGGTAGCTTGGCAGGGGTATTGGACAAGTTGTAGACCTTCTGCAGTGTTCTATGTTCTTATGTGGGATAGCGATGAAGAAGTTTCTTGGCGAGTGGTTCAGCTATGTTATAGAAGCCATTGTTCTGGTTGAAATTGTTGGTTATAGAGATAAGCGATGATTCCAGGATTCTTCTGTATCGAGTGTTGTCTTCTGTGGCTATAAGTCTTATGTTTCTGTAGTTAATTAAATGGTTGTGTGAATTGCGGTGCTGTACACAGGCATTCCTTGTATCGTCAGTCCTGCTTGCATATTGGTGTTCTGAAATGCGTGTTTGGAGGTCTCTTGATGTTTCGCCCACATATAATTTGTCTGTCACCTGGCTCCGTTATGTTGACGACATTCTCCTCATAACTCCTAAACGCTTCAACGTTCAAGCTCTCCAAGACAAGCTCAACCAGGTCGAGCCTTCAATCCAGTTCACACTTGAAGAAGAAGTCGACAACACTCTTCCTTTCCTTGATGTTCTGCTCTGCAAAGCTGACCACGAACTTCGTTTTAAAGTCTATCGAAAACCCACCAACCAAAACGATCTTCTCCACTTCTACTCTCACCACGACACCAAAACCAAACGTGGTGTGATTATAGGCTTCTTCCTACGTGCACTCAGAATCTGCAGCAATGAGTTCCTTGAGGAAGAATGCACTATAATTGAACAAATATTTTCCAAACTCCACTATCCTAGTCACTTCATCAGAGACTGCAGACGGCGGGCATTAAACATCTTCAACACACCCAGAGAAGACACTGCCAAGAAGAGATACATAGTCCTCCCCAACAACTCCATTGCCAAACATGTTTCCAACATCTTTGCCAAAACATCATTCCAAGTATCTACCTCCACAACCACGACCATCAAGGACATCACCAGTGGTAGACAGGACAAGCCTCCATCCTCTGCAGGGGTATACACAATCTCTTGTAATGACTGCAACAAATTATATGTGGGCGAAACATCAAGAGACCTCCAAACACGCATTTCAGAACACCAATATACAAGCAGGACTGACGATACAAGGAATGCCTGTGTACAGCACCGCAATTCACACAACCATTTAATTAACTACAGAAACTCAAGACTTATAGCCACAGAAGACAACACTCAATACAGAAGAATCCTGGAATCATCGCTTATCTCTATAACCAACAATTTCAACCAGAACAATGGCTTCTATAACATAGCTGAACCACTCGCCAAGAAACTTCTTCATCGCTATCCCACATAAGAACATAGAACACTGCAGAAGGTCTACAACTTGTCCAATACCCCTGCCAAGCTACCCAAGACTCTATAACCCCACCCGGTGGATCATCAGATGCAGCATTCTTCACCTGACCTCAACATTCTGACTATAAATACTCTTGTACCTTCCAACCCCAGGTAGATCCGTGTGTGACTTGAGAAAGCCCACTGTGTGGGTGAAACGTTGTCAATAAAGGATCACATTATACTGCATTTGTGTTTATATTTCCATTGTGTCGGTATTTTATACCATTTATTACCACACAAGGCTCCTACCTACTTAATTCATACTTTCACTGATAATGATGATGAAGAGGTTCGATTAAACTTGATGATCCACAGGACCAGGCTAATTTGATGGGTGATGTATGGGAGAAAATTCTCTCCCACAATAACAGTCGTCGATTTAATAATAATCACTATCAGTTGGTCAATGAATGGAGAGATGAGAACTTAGCTGATCTACAACCACTACCTACCATCGATACATCAACTCTTGAAGAGGCACACCTGCTTACTAGACCTATCACACTACTTGAGATGAGTCAAGTTATTGGAAGAATGCGAAATAGAGCCCCTGGTCTCTCTGGAATAACAATGAAACAAATAAAGTTCCTACCCAGAAATTGTAAACAGTCTTTGGTTAATATCTTTAATGCCATCTTGGCCTCCGGACATTTCCCAGTGGTTTTTAAGACTGCTAGGATGATCTTTCTTGCTAAACCCAATAAAAACATTCATCAACCAGAAAACTATAGACCTATATCCTTACTTGAAGTCACTGGGAAAGTTCTTGAAAAGATCATTTCCAACAGAATGAACTACTATATGGAGTTTAACCACCTTTTTACTGAAAAACAGTTTGGCTTTAGGACACATAGAGGTACCCATCATGCAATAAATATTATTTTTGATACTGTAGCAAGTCTGAAACATCAGGGAAATTTTGCTCTAATTGCCACCAGAGATGTTCATAAAGCTTTTGATAGCTTATGGCATGATGGTCTTATTTTTTTTTTTTTTTCAACAAGTTGGCCGTC